AGAGCGGTTAACCCCAAGAATCGTCCAGTACGTCCACTTCCTCCTCCTGAAAGTGACGTGTCTGAACCTATGATAGTACTGCCACCGTCACAGCCATGGCCACCGCGAAGGCGACCACCACCATTTGGGTATCAGCTTCCTTCTCTCCAGACCCATTCTGACACCTACAGCTTGTTTCAGGTATGGGGCACACCTAGCCATGGGCAGATGCAGGATTCTGAGAAAGAGGGGGTGCAAGCGATGTGGTGCATTGTCCCACAGCATGACGTAGATTTTTCTCAAAATAAAAAGAAACTCAAAGTTTTGCTAATATGCCAGATGCTGTGTTAGTCAGACTGTGATCCCAGCAAAAGCACCTGAGTCTATAGGGGACTGCCAGCTCCAGGGTGGGGCAGGCATCTGGTGCCAGGGTAGCACAGCTGTTACCCCGCAACCTGGTCATGGACTGAACTGCCTCCTGCAACCCCACTCAAGTCCCTCAGGCACTCCACCCAGTGCCCCTCACTGCTTTCCCTGCATTGCCCCTGCCATCTCTGCCCCCTGTTATCCCACGTATCCCCATTCTCAGCCCCACCCCATCCTGCCCCGACCCCATCAGATTCCACCATCCCCCTGACTGTCACAGCCCCCATGAACCTGCTGCACCTTGCACAGGCTCCTCCCCATCATGTCCCAGGCCCCTGACCCTTACCATCCCCCTCACACCCTGCTGAGCCCTCCCCTGCCCTTCTGTGCATTCAGACCTCACTGGAGCTCGTCAAAACCCTTGTGCTCCCTCACCCTTCTTATTCCAAACTCTTTTCACAGCTCGTTTCACCCCCATTCACTCCAACACCCACCTGGGCCCCAAAACAACTGTCCCATCTGCCCCTCAAACCACTCCATCCCCATAATGCTCCAGCTCCTCTTCACCCCACACCCCTGCACCCCATAAGCCCCCTCTTCCCAAAAGCCCCTTGGTGCCCACAATCCCCCCATCCAGTCCCTCATGGCCCCTCAGAGCCCCTTCCCCTCAAAGCCCCTCCTAAGCAGTCTCGCCCCCACTCTTCACCATAGGGTTGGTAACACCTATGGAGGGAAGAGCTTAGCAGAAATCAAGTAGATAATAATGAGCCATGGAGTTAATTGATTCTCTTTATTCCACCTGAAAAGAAATGCAGCTGTGCTTGCCTGGTGGTTTGTTTTAAATTCTAAGTGGAGCACAAATTAGACATGGGGGTGAAATGGCACCCACAACTTCCCCCTTGATCTTCCCCTGTGCCTTTTTTAGAGCTTCGCTGACTCCCATATGCTGAAAGCTGTTGGCATCCCAGGGGCAACATCTCACCAACTAGGGTCTGGCCTGTTCTATGAATCATTCTAGGTGGATGCTCCTAGTGAAATCCCCCTGGGATTCACTGCACCAGCCTTCTGACATACTTAGAGAGGGCTCTAACCAGGGACAGACTCTGTGGGAAATCCACAGAGCATTAACCCTCAAACCTCACCATAGCCCACTCCTGGGTAGATATATATTATATCAAAGGCTGGTAGCAATGATTACAATTAAGGTGGCCTGACACTTCCTGTTAGAAGACTTCTCAGTGTCTTATAAAGCTGTCAGACTAAAGCTGGGCTTAGATCTCCTGTGCCAGATTTCTGCCATGGGCTGCATTTCTTTGGAAAGTTTTGGTTGAAACAGTTCAGCATTTTCTCAGAAGATTGGGGGGAAATAAATTGTATGGCCAATGCAAAAGTATGCTTCTAGTTGTGTAAGTAATAAGCAGTAGAGCAGACAGGTGAAATACGGTGGCGATGTCAGCTAGGAGTCCGTGAGGTGTCCCTTGCACCACTGGGAAATTCAACCTAAGCGTGGCTGAATTACAGATCTCCAAAAATCACAGTCTGTTCATGCTTGCAGGGGGGTTTCAGCTGTCCTGTGATCCTGCATGCTCCATACTCCCTCTCCTCTTGCTGTGACTTTTCTCCTAAGCTTCTCCAGCTAAGCCCTGGGTTATTCAGGGTAGCTACACCTAGTGGTGTGAGGGTAGCTGGACTGCAGTTCCAATCAGGACAGCACAACACAGCACAAGGGCACGGTCTCTGAGCATGTGCACAAAAAAGCAACGTGCAGTGAGTTAACAAGAGGTGGCAACTTGTTTCAGGGTAGACAATGTTCACAGTAACTGTTTATGTCCTCTCTCTGTTCCTCAGGTAAGTGAAAGCTAAACTGCAGTAGCCTGACCATGTTGCATGAAAGGGGAAACAAGCACAGTTCAGATTCCGTTTACAGCAGGGTAAGAGTAGGTATCATAAGCAGTGACCGTGGAATAGCTTCTCTATACCAATTCTATGACTCTTTTTGAACTTGTATGTTTGATTGTCCACACATCACTCTTCACATCTGCTTTCTGTAGTATGTTCCCTCTGAATCCTTCCCACTGGCTGTTCACCTCCATCAGGCAGTCACAGCTGTGTTGTGGGGATGGTGTGTGCCCCTCTTCAGTCCTGTTTTCCAGAGGCTAAAATGCAGATGGAATCGTCATTCTAGAAGGGCAGAAGGAACCCCTGGGGAAATGTAATGTGAGGTACTGGGCATTTCTTATACAAAGTGAGTGACTCACTATAGGTCACAAGGCAGGTTGACAGCAGAGGATGAGAGAGAGCCCCTGCTTCTTGACCTCCAGGCATGGGACCCAAGCACTGAGCCACACTGCCACTGCTAAGACATAGCTGGGAGCAAAAGGGTACAATTATTAGAGGACAGATCAGCTGATTAACAAACCAATATGTGATCTGTAAGGCTGGAACTAGCTCCTGGATCTTGCAGACCTCACTTGTGTCTTTCAAAACTAAAAGCAAAATGCTGGGCAGAAGCACTGTATGGATCAACCCCAACCAGGAGAACATGGTGAAGAGATGACCTGATGGGTCTTTCCTATATCTGTCCTCTGAGGTCCCATCTATAAAATATTGATCTACAATTGCAAAGTCCTACATGTTCCCTGGTAACCAGGATAGGGCTGATCCCCTGCTAACTGTCATGTTATGTTATGGGATCATTTATCATTCCAGGGCGCAGTCACAAAGACCGTCCCACTGCAGCTAGTAGTGTTGCTGGGACTGATGCTTTTCCTTCTCTCTTGTTCCAGAATGCAGCTTTGAAAGTTTGCACGAACGCCAACATCAGGATGCCCTGCTTGACTGAAGAACGTATGCCTATCTATTACTCCCGCACAGACCTGACAGGTGCCCGATACGGTGAAGGTCAGTGGGGACAGGAACTGGGCCCTGCCTTTTTCTCTCCTTTTAAATTCACCCTCTGGCCCCTGAAGCAAATAAGACAAGGGCTCCTGGATCAGGCCCAGAACCTGGGCTGTAATCCTGGTCCTGATGCTGCCAATCAGAGTTAGAGCATGAGAAAGGCAGAGCTCTTGCTGTTCCTCTTCCGTAAGTGGAAGAAAAGGCTTCTGATCATTCACATACTTCATGGAGGCAACTGTCCTTATAAACCAGGGGTTTAGAGGTTGGCTTGTGTGGGCACCCTCCTTTACCTGTGGTAATTTAGGCTGTTATGTTTGGTTTTGTGTTAGGACTGGTAGCTTTGCTAAGAGGTTAGATAATGGACATGTATAGGTTTGGGTAGGGATGATCCTGCCTCAGGCAAGGGCTTGAACTAGATGAGCTCTCAAGGTCTTTTCCAGCCCTACTTCTCTGTGATTCTGTGACTTGATTTTGCACAGGTTTTGTTCCACCCAGAAGCTGTTACCCATGGCACTAAGCCTGGTAAGCAGTGATACGGGATCCCCAATGTCCTTTCTGCATTATCTAGGGTTGACCCCAGATATGCTGCCTCTAGGGGTGGCAGGAATAGCTCCTGGGCCTTCCCTGGACAATGCCATGCCAGATCCCATCCATGCATCATCCAACATCCATGAAGAGCCAGAACTGCGGGCGTACTTCCCAGAGACATGGCTGTGGGATCTGGTCCCTGTGGGGTGAGTGCAGACTTACAGCAGACCTGCCAAGCAGAACTGATCTCCATTATGCTCCAGCTGCAAACACAGAACAGAGGGAACACTGTAGTTAGCTGTAGTGCTGACTCCTCCTCCCCAGGAGAGAAGGGATGGGAGGGAGATAGGTGGAATGGAGTCGTAGCTGCCCCGATCACCCAGCTGATATAGCAGTGCCAGATTGGGCTGCTGCATTGGTTCAGGCAGTGATATGCAGATCCCCAGGACTCCTGGTGCCCTCTTCACTCCCCTCTTCCATGGCAATACCATATTGGTGCCCCCTCTAAGCCAGCACCAAGGGCAGGTGTGCTGCATACCCCATTCAAGCACGCTATTGCAATAGAGAGGAGCCCAACACAGGGGAGGGAAAATAAAAAGGCAGTAGGGACATGGGATCACTCTCTGGGCAGCTGTTCCCAATCTCAGGACCAAGAGAGAGGGAAAGGCATTAGGAAACCCAGGGATGGTATATGCATTGGGTCCAGGTATATGAGATGGGTCCAGAGTGGGATCTCTTGGGAGGGTTCTCTCCAGCAAAGGGAGAGCCCTAGAGCCTCAGGGGCAGATCCAGCATTTTCTGACCTGAGTGCATTAGGAAGAAATGAAGAAAAGATCCCACTGACAACTCTGCCTAGTCCAAAGGTCTGGTCTTGACGTATTTCTGTGCAGCCTCCCCTGTGGCCCACACCAGGGAAAGGGAGGGTCAGGCAGGGTCTTCTCTAATGGCCATGTCCAGCAGGCAATGTCCACCTCTGTGTTCACTTATCTGTTGGTGCCTGCACTGTCCAGTGAAGGGGCAGGCTCACAACCCCTCAGCTGCCTGTCACCAAGTGTGCCCTGACCAGCGATTTCCCTGGCAGGAACCTAATACCCAGTCATAAGAACTCACGCTGGACACTAGTTTCTAAGTGCTCAGCTCCTCCAGTTAAGGGAGCAGAAACAGTACCATCCTGGCTCAGGGCTGGGATGGCAATCAAAGGAAACCTGGGCTATGTCTTTCTGACATTATTCTGTGTCCGCACTATCCAGCGAGGAGGGCTCCAACAATGTCCCAGTCACCGTCCCTGACAGCATCACAGAGTGGAAGGCCGGGATGTTCTGCACGGCAGATGTTGGCTTTGGACTTTCCTCCACGGCCACCTTGACAGCTTTCAAGCCGTTCTTTGTGGAGCTGGCCTTGCCATGTTCTGTGATCCGTGGAGAGGCCTTCACCCTAAAGGCCACTGTCTTCAACTACCTGCTGCAATGCATCAAGGTGAGCAGAGTTACAATAACATGCTAAGGCCATGGGGTCCCATGCCTTGGATCTGGTGCCTATGAGCAGTAGTGCCAGTGGTGCCAAACGTAACCCAGCAGCCACAGGAGATGGGACCCAGGGGCCCACTGGTGCCAGCACCTGGCAATGAGCTGAGCCTGAGCCCCAAGGTGCTACGTCCTGTCTGGAGCTGCTGAGTGAGCATGTCCCAGGAACCCTAAGAGAGGTCTCATGTTGGGTCCCATAGGTGCAGGTGACACTGGTGGAGTCTACGCAGTTCCAGGCACAGGCTGGCGAGGAGAGCGCTTACACCAGCTGCCTCTGTGCAGAAGAGGGGAAAACCTTCCAGTGGGAGGTGACAGCCACCAGCCTTGGTAAGGGGTCTGGCTGTGCCCCAAGTCAGCGGGGGGACAGCCAGAGCTGGGGGAGAGGAAAGCTGCCCCTAAATGGAAACTCCTCCCACACAACTCAGCCTTTAACACAGTCTACCCTTCACTTGTCCTTTCCTTCCTCACATCACCCTTCCTTCTCTGCAGGGGAAGTGAACTTCACTGTCAGCACCGAGGCCCTGCACACCCAGGAGCTGTGTGGCAATGAGGTGGTTATAGCACCTGCCCAGGGGAGAGTGGACACTGTGATAAAGCCCCTGCATGTCCAGGTCAGTTTGGCCAGGGTCCATCTCTCAATCGGACAACACAGAGAGGGGGTGGTATATCTCAGTCTTCCTTCTTAGCAGATACAGACCAAGTTGCCCATTGTGATATTTTTCGTCTTGCCACAGAAAACAAATCCTTGCCATAAATTTGTCCATCTGCCTGCCCAGTCAAGTGCTGCCTTGTCACATTGACATATGGGAGCTCACAGCAGGGTTAGGTGTTAGCCGCAGTGGGCGTGCGATGTGATGTGACCACTGGGCTCCAAACAGTCTGTTTAGGAAGTGGTGGGAGCCCTAGACCTGAGGTGCTGATATCTAGATGGCCCCAGCCCAGCGCAGCCTGGCAGGCAGATTGTGCCCAGTGGAAGCTGAGGCTGCGATACCTACAGAGGTCCAAGGGCCAGCCAGGCTCCGGTATGGGCAGTGCCTTCTCCTGACCTTCTGTCTGATGCTGCTTCCCCACAGCCGGGCGGGATCCTGGAGGAGAAGGCGCACAGCTCCCTGCTCTGCCAGGAAGGTAGGATTCCAGCATCCCACCCTGGTAGGGGAGGGGCCAGCACATAGCTCTGCCGTTTCTCTGCTGTGCTCTGTCTAATATCTCCATTGCGGAGCCTAGGTCCTGGGACACCAGGCTGGGTCAGCATGCAGGCCTAGGACCCTACCCATACCCAGCTACTCAGTGGAAAATGCATCCTGTAGAGGGCATCAGTGGCACCCTGTGCAGTTGGCTTTGCAGTGGCACCCTTTGCAGTTGCCTTAAGACTTGAGCACATCCAGCTGTGGATCCTAGTCTGGTTATGACTGTGTGGGGACAGATCCACATCCCTTCTTGCTTGCCCCCATGTCCATGGTTCACTATCTCTCTCAGAGGCCAGAAAGGGCCAACTACCTGAAGGGAAGTTCGAAGTACAATGGAGCTAGACCGTTCTCAGTGCTGGTGGATGAGAGAAGAAGGAGCAACGGTCTCAAGTTACAGCAAGGGAAGTTTAGATTACATTGTAAATGTTCTAAGTGTAAAATGTTGTAACTCGAAACCTTGTAAGTCAAGGAGTGTCTGTACTTGTTATGAAATACATTACATTAGAGACAGACACAATTAGGATATGTATAATATAATACTGGAAGCATGACAGATGCTATAGCTAGAATGGAGTTCTTGCTTGCAATATAGAATCACTTTTTCAGTTACTGATAACTTACTCAAACAAAAATTTCTTGGGGCTGAAAGTTTCCATGCCTGGACTCAGCTTTGAAGTTAATATTTCAAGGAAAGCAGCTGGATTACTGTGTCCAGTTCTAGACGCCACAGTTCAAGCGGGATGCAGAAAACCTGGAAAGGGTCCAAAGAAGAGACACTCACCTGATTAGAGGCCTGCAGGGAAGGCCCTACAAGGAAAGGCTAAGGTACCTTAACCTCTTCAGCCTCTCCAAGAAAAGGCTGAGAGGGGACCTTGTGGCAGCATACAAATTTAAAAGGGGAGAGCAACATGAAGTAGGCGACCAT